ATTTATTTATTTATAAAGCTAATGATTGATACAATTGATTGCTTGTGTTTTATGATGATGATGACATGACCGTAACCGAAAAAATAAAATACAATAACCTTTTATTCAAGCAATAAAACAGAATACAGTAAAACAATACATTATCTTCTTATAGTTCAGTCAATCTACGAAAAAAAAAAAAAATAGCTCAACCCGGAATAAATTGCAATAGTAATGAAAATAATTGTATTTTACTCAGAATATTGAGGAATAACACATAAAAAAAGCTAGAAAAAATTTAATTATTTAGTGTAAGTGATTACATTTTGGACCTAAAGGTACTGTAGGGGTGTCTTCGGACGTCTGTGTGGTATAAATCCATATCACCTACTGAATGGCTCAAAGTTTGAAGGTTCAATACAAAAAATTGGATATAGGGGATTAAAAGGGTGCAATCACCACCCCCATCTACACTACCATAAAACATCCTCCACACACACAAGTTCCCTCAAACTAATGTTTCATGACTTAATATTCATAAAGCACACTAAGCTAAGCCCAATCGTGGTGACAGTAGGGCCTTCGGGCCAGTACTGTCGTCTGGAAGATCCCCTACCCCCTTCCCATCCCCCGTCAAGAAGAAAGAATATCCTTTACGACTCTCAATTAATTAAGCCTTTAATATCCAGGTGAAAGCAATACATAAAAGAAAACATACATACAATATGTAGGATTGCCACTATCAAGTGGCTTTCCTACTAAACATCTTTACATAAAGCATACATAAAAGACATTACAGCTCAGACCACCAATAAAATATTGTAATTAGAAATGCCAATTTAAAGTCCTTGAACAAGGCAGAATTCCACCCAACTGAAATTTTCGGTCCACGCCCCACCTCCCCCACCCCCATCCCCATCAGCATAAAAAATATTTTGGATCCGCCCCTAAGTGTACACGTCAGTCATAGGCGTAGATCCCGGGGGATGGGGGTATACCCCCCAATATTTGACAAGGGGAATGGTCCATTGTATCATCCCCCCCCCCAATATTTTGACTGTGTATGGGATAAAATGGAGCTTTACACACTTCAAAAGACTTTCAAAGAATTAATTTGCACTGTGCGCTTACAAAGATGAAAATTAGCATAATGTATTAATGTTGATAACAAAATTATTTTATCTGGTACCAATCTAAGCTCTTCTTTCCTTAGATGTTAGATGACGTGCTTGCAAAGAGAGCCACATATCACACTGAATGAGTGTGTACGACATCAGTAATGTTATGTCAATTCAAAGAATGTTTAAGGTTATATCGGTTGATGAGGAATTTATTGATTAGGCCTATAATAGCAAATTGCATCAATTTATTTTGCAAAAACAAGGTTTCCAGCTTCAGAGGGGGAAC